ACTTCTCCTCCAATTTGCCTAATTGTCTAATACAAACTACTGCTATCTTAATGCCTGGAACAGGAAACATTCTGCTTTCCCACCATGCAGCTCAGGAGAGATAACATATGATTATGCCATAGTTTGACTTTAATTGGCAAACTCTTCATAAATTCCCAATGACTAGAAATATATTTAGTTTGAAATGTAATCATTTGTTTCACACAATGCATGCTCACTGAGCTCTGAATAATAAGCAACAAGAGCACTGTCAGGTTTTTCAGAGTTGGAACGAAGAATAGTTTTCTAGCTTGTAGCTAATATTTTAATGGTTAGAATTTTATAATTTTAAATTTACATTTGCCACCTTGGGAACTTCTTTGATTTGATTTGTCTCACTTGGCATACTTTGCTTTCCAGCAGACTGTGATTTTATATCATGGTGACTTGACCCATATAATAACAGCACTAGCAAATTCAAATTTTGTTGATTTTTTTTTTCCTTTATGCTTTTGGGCAATGTCTATCTCTGAGAATACTCCTTTGTAAACTCCATGTTGGAGTTATAATCAGATGACATATTTTGATTCAGCTACATTTGGCTTTTAAAATTCTGCCAGAGGTATTGAATTAGTCACATGCTTGAGCCTATACCTGAAAGCTGGACTTCATAATATAAACAGCTTTTTGAGGTAAAAGAGAACTGAAGTATTTTTCACTTCAAGATATTTTTTGACATTGTTTAATTTTTGCCTGTACACACAAACACACCTTCTCTTTTCACTGTAGGATTGCTGTTGGAAAATTTATCCACAATATAACTCTTTCTGTGACAATGCAGGTAGCAGCAGAAACCCTATACTGACCCCATATCCATATCCCTGGAGACAATCTGGCTTGATTTTTTTTTAATACAAAGCCATATCAAAATGTATGGTATGGAAACGTAGCTTGTGTTTGTTTGCTTCCTGACAGGGAAATCCTGTTTTTAGAGGATTGATGCCCTCTTAAAGAGGAATAGGCTCCTTTACCTCTGCAGTACTGTGGATGGCCACATTCTAGGACTTTCCAAGAAGCAAATATGAAGGGAGAAGCTTCATTTTATGTGATGGGGAAATTATTGCAGTCATAGCTGGCCACCTGCAATTGCAGCACAATTCTGTCATTTTGCCTGTAGCTGAGATGTGTAAGATGTTGAGCTTGTGTATTTTACATATATTTTCTTCCTTCCCTGTATGGAGTTGAAAGGGATATGCATTATTTGCTTCCATTCCACACCATTGTGTTCTCATAACAACACTACAGGTAATCCTCAACTTACGACCACAATTGAATATAAAATTTCTGTTGCTAAGCGAGACATTAGTTAACTGAATTTTGTCCCATTTTAGACCCTCCTTGCCACAGTTGTTAAGTGAATCAGTGTAGTTAAGTTAGTGAGGTTGTTGTGAAGTGAATCCAGCTTCCCCATTGACTTTGCTTGTCAGAGGGTAGCAAAAGGTGATTGCATGAACTGAGGACAGTGCAACCGTCATACAGTAAATATGAGTCAGTTGTGAAGCGTCTGAATTTTGATTATGTGACCATGAGGAATTGAGGATGCTGTAATGATTGTAAGTGTGAAAAACTGTCGTGTCAGTTTTTCAGTGCCGTTGTAATTTTGAACAGTCACTACATGAACTGTTGTAAGTCGAGGACTACCTGTGTAAAGGATTGAAAGGTAGCTTTGTTTGTTTTAGTTCATGGTTTACAACCTAGATGTCCCAGTCAGAGATGATCTTCACTTGAAGACCAGCAAAATATAGTCAGGACTGGAGACAGAAGAAATAAGAGCCATGGTGGCACAGTGGTTGGAATACAGTGTTACAGGCCAACTTACTGCTCACCCTAGGAGTTTGATCCTGACCAGCTCAAGGTTGACTCAGCCTTCCATCCTTCCAAGGTTGATAAAATGAGGACCCAGATTGTTGGGGGCAATAGGCTGACTCTGTAAACTGCTTAGAGAAGGCTGTAAAGCACTGTAAAGTGGTATATGTGCGAAGTGCTATTGCTGTTGCTAATTAAAGAAATATATGAACTCATCACTGGTCTGTTGTCTGGTTTTCAAATCCTGGTTTTAAGTGTAGAATGACTGATTTTCCAAATGATGTTCTTTCTCTCCCTCTCTCTTTCTCTTTAAGAGTAAAAAGGATCGCATGAAGGTTTGGATAAGGGCACGCCTCCCTTCCTGGTGCAAGGAGAGAGATTCCTGGTCTGTCTACATCTTTGCCCCTCAATCTAAGTAAGGCAACCCATATTTGATTGCTGGAAGTATGTTGGAACATGCTGGGCTTAATGTTTGCTGAGGGTAGCAATTACAATATTCCTGCAGAACTCTCAGAGGCCAAAATGGTGAAAGAGGCCTTCCTATCTAAAAGATTTGCACCAGTATTCACAGGTGCTGCATCTAATGCATCTAATGTTTCTGAGAGGACAATTCATATACGTTGTAATCTGCAAATCATAACAGAGAATGATTTAAGGGGAAAACTATAACCCAGTGATAAGGCATGTGACTGGCATGCCAAAAGTCCTGGGATCTATGATATTTCCATTTTGAGGGAGTATCTAGTATCCTGAAGGATCCTGAAGATCTGCTGCCAATTTAGAGAAAGAACAGTTTCCAGACAATTATGTCATACTATAAAATCGTATATCACAGTAGCAGCAGCAACAACTATTAAATTATTTCTAGCTTTGCTCAGCTGATTATCTGTTTTCACCTCACCTACCATCTATGGCCCCTAAAATCCTTGCTTAGTATGCCAACGCTACCCTCACCTTATAAAACCTTCCCACCAGCAATATCAATGTATTATTGTATATTGTAATGTACTGTAGTATTGCTACACAAAGTTAAGTTTTTCTATTATACTCTGGAAGGAATCAGAAACTTTCTGGATCCTGAGGGACTTTGTCTACTGCTAAAATTTCCCCAATTTCAAATAGTAGATACCATCCTTCTAGAACCAGTTATTTGATCCAGATAATTGGGGAAAGGAATGGAGCACAAAATCAATCCCAAGCATCTCTAGCCAGGGTTAGAAATTCCTATCTGAAACCAAGCAGATCAGCCGGCAGTCAATGCAAAGTAAGCATAACCAAACTTATAGACTCAACTCAAATTTCAATGGGAAAACTCTGAACATCCTAGACCAAGCTAAATCCAAAACCACTACGGAATTCCTGGAACCTTGGCATTCTGACAAATTAGCCATAGTGTTCAGCAAAAAACTAAAAAAGAAGCAAAAAAGACCATCACTTTCAGCAGCCAATACCCAGATAAGCAAACCTCACTCTTGCTGGCACTGATGATAGTACCTAGTCAGGTAATGAAATGTCTGCAAGCAAACAACCAAGCTCAGATAGTACCAAAGATTCCACAGTTCGATCTTGAGCTACATATATTCTTTTCTGTTATAACCAAATTTAATGTAAGACAGTTTTTAAACTTTCTTGGGGAACAAATACTTTGTTGAAAATTTCTGCTAGAATCTCACTTTACATTAAATGCACACAATTTCTCTCCCTCTCTGTCTCTCTCACACACATATATAGTCATAAAAATTAACACCAAATGGATCCCCAAAATATCTTCATCATACGCTAATGTCAGAGTAAATTGGACATAATATTTTGAACAGAGTAGCTTCAGCAATTTTGTGTCCCTGGATCACTGTAAACTGTTTTTACGCCCTTTGGATTATATGAGTATGGGAGGGGGATTTTTTCCAGCATCACATGAGGCTTCCATAAATATGCCTCAAAGTAATTACAAATTCAACAAATGTTTGAAATGCAAATTTGCCTTATTACTTCATAAAATGTCATACTTAAAAGAAATGTAAAGTCCAGCTAAATGAATAATCCATCATTCCCCTCTTCAAGGTTAAAGCAGGTGGACGCAAATTAGAATAAACTACTATATACTGAGAGAGAGTAGGGATTTTTTTTTTTTTTTTGGTAATTTCCTTCCCTCGAGTTGCTGTTTGCGTGACTGAGAAATTGTTCCTATGACCTTTACCCCTTTTCTGGTTCTTTTAGCCCATCTTTTGCTAAGCTGGTGTCTTCCAGATGTATTGGAAGTACAGCTCCCAGAATTCCAAGTTAGTATGAGTGTCAGCACATCTGGAAGACACCAGCTTGAGCAGGGCTGGTTTAACTTTAGAGGCTACTAGGAAAAAAGGAACTTACATCAAAGCTCTAATTTGGCCTTTTCCAACCTATTTCCTTCCCAATATGTTGGGACTCTATTCTCAGAATTCTCATCAAATGTTGCTAACAGTTTCAAGAGCGGTTTATTCTCAGAAGAAGTAAGAATGCTTTTCCTCTAAGGTTCAACTGCCTTCCCTATAACTTTTTATAAGTGTGATTAATTTAATCTTCTGTAGTTCTGAGGGTTAAAGGAAAAATTGGGCAAGATCTTTTCGGGGAGTCCTCATACACAATGTTGAGTTCTCCACCTTCCAGTTCTCTCTCATTTCCCTTCCTAACCAGTCTTTTCTTCTCCCAGCATATATTCTTTACAGAAGTCTTTGATTTACAACAACAATTGAGACCAACATTGCTAAGCAAAGCAGTTGTTAAGTGAGTTGCACCCCATTTTACAATCATTTTTGCCACAATTGTTCAGTGAATTGCTGCAGTTGTTAAGCAACGTATGTGATTGTTAAGTGAATCTGTCTTCCCTCATTGACTTTGCTTGTTGGAGGACAGCTGGGAAGATTACAGATGGTGATTACACGACACTGCAGCCATCATAAATACATGCCAAATATCTGAATTTTAATAACGTGACTTTTGGGTACTGCTATAGTTGCGAAAACCAGTCGTAAGTCACTTTTTTCAGTGCCATTGTAACTTCAGACAGTCCCTAAATGAATGGTTGTAAGTCAAGGACTACCTGTATTGTTTCTTCTCCATTTCCCACTTTTGACCAAAGTATTTTTTTTTTCCTTATTTCCTTCCTTGATTATCTACAAAAAAGCAAAACAAAATTATGGTTATGGCCAACACCTTTTCATAATTTTTTGAAGGTCAGGATAGTGATGAACCTGCGGAACGCATGAGATTGAGGAACTCAGAATCTTTGCCAGTGGTTGAATCTAAGGACAGTCTTCCTACTCATACCTTTAATTGCCAGATGGCAAGCATGAACCGCTGGCTTGTGAAGAACCAGAGCTAGCAACATCTTGTAATATTTCTTTTATAAAAAGAACCATGTTGCCCATCGGGAGTGGGTAAATGGTCCCGACAGATCCAGGGCAGAACCGCAGAAGAAACTAATTATCCACCTCCTGCCTCCAATGGAGTCCAACTGCAAGGAAGCTACTCCAGAAGGGTGAATCATGCAGCGAATGCTGGGCAGCCTGCTCTCCATATGTCTATTTTAGATCACAAAAGTCATTCATTCCATTCCTCATGATGTGTGAGCAGTATCTCACAATTTGGGAAAGATGGGTACTTTATATCAAGACAAATTTTGGTGATGGTTTTCGTTGGATGATTTGCATGCAGGGGGTAGAAGATGAGGACAAGGACAAATGAGGTTTGTCCCTGACAAGGAAGGTCTGTTTCCAAAAATTAATTGCAGTTGCAGGGTTTTTTTTACAACAAGAAGGAAAGGGTAGTCCAGTATCTGTAGAAAAGGAAGAGGATTGTTTCTCTGCTGTGCACAGATTTCTAGTGACTTCTCTTCCTCTTCCCTTTAGATTCCGTGTCATATGCAATAAAATCATTTCCCACAAGATGTTTGATCACATCGTCTTGGTTATCATTTTCCTGAACTGTATCACCATTGCAATGGAGCGTCCCAAAATTGAGCCTCACAGTGCTGTGAGTAAACTGTACCACTTCCCAATTAACGTAGCCGCTTTGTGGTGCTTTGAGTTTATGTGGGGCTTTTATCAATGTTTGTCCTTTCTATTGGTTTCTTTTATCAACAGAAGGTGGAACTCAGAGGGCATGAAAGGGAATAAATGGAATAATAAATAAATTATCCTGATGTGTACTAAGAGATAGTCCAGACAAAAGATTAGAGCAGATGTGTGGGGCAGCTGTCTCAGTATACCTTTTCTGTTTGATTACTGTCAAGGCTTGATCATCCTGCCTCCCCAATCCCACTGAACTGAACATTTCTTATAGATCTTAGAAACATGTGATGTCTAGACTTGGGCTTTTAAAACGATACAATAAGAAGGATTCATGAAAAGCCACTTAAAGGTGTACTTTGGTTAAGGTGGTGCTTCTCAAGCTTTTTCTTTTCATTACACAAAATAGCTTATCAGAAGGTCCTCTTTACTCAGAAAGTCCTTTTGTACATCTTCGACTTATGACAACAATTGAGCCTAAAATTTCCATTGCTAAGCAAGACAGTTGTTCAGTGAGTTTTGGCCCATTTTACTACCCTTCTCGCAGCTGTTGTTAAGTGAATCACTGGAATTAATTTAGTGACATGGCTGTGAAATGAATCTGGCTTCCTCGTTGACTTTGCTTGTCAGAAGGTTACAAAATGTGATTACATGATCCCAGGACACTTGAACCATCATAAATACATGCCAATTGCAATGATCCCTACTGACCACAGGGATGCTGCAATGGTTGTAAGTGTGAAAAATGATCGTAAGTCACCTTTTTTCAGTGCTGCTTTATCTTTGAATGGCACTAAACAAATGGTTGTAAGCAGGGGTGGGATTCAAATTTTTAACAACTGGTTCTGTGGGCATGGCTTAGGTGGTGGGCGTGGCTTGGTGATCATGTGACTGGGTGGACATGGCTTGGTGGTCATGTTATTGGCTGGGTGTGGTCAACTCAATATCACTCACATCGAGGCACGCATCTCCTCGCCTGGCCTATCATGACTGTGGGGATGCTGCAACAGTTGTAAGTGTGAAAAATGGTCATATCACTTTTTTCAGTGCCATTGTAACTTTGAATGGTCCCTCCAGACAAGCAAAGTACCAGCAAAGGAGGGGGAAAAAACTCCAGAGATGTTCCTGAGACAGGAAGTCTAGTCCTGCCAAGAACATAATAAGGGTTAACGGAGAGGCAGTTTCTTTAAGCAACACCAGAATGTTTCCTTCCTGCCTTCCTTACAGGATTAGGCCAGTAATTTCTTCTAACAACCGGTTCTCCAAACTGCTTAGAATGTTAAAAACCGGTTCTAGCGAATAGGTGCAAACTGGTAGAAACCCACCCCTGGTTGTAAGCAGTGGTGGGATGCTGCCAGTTTAACAATCGGTTCGGTGAGTGTTCATCGCTGAAAATGGAGCATTTAGAAGCTCAGCTGCTTACCTTCCAAGTCAGCAATGGTAAGTAGAATGGGGGGGGAGGGGGAATCAGCTATGCCACACGATTGAGATGAGCTACAAAGCAGGAAATAAAGGACAGGATAGGGTGGGGCCAATTGATCATCAGAAATACCAGTTCGTCTGAACTGGTCCAAACCGGCAGCATCCCACCACTGGTTGTAAAGCAAGGACTATCTGTATTTAAATGTTCCTGTTGGGTTTGGGTCATGGGTTTGTGTGTGGTTATCCAAAGAAAAGCCACTATTATCCAGTTTACTCAGGTTTAAGAAGCACTGGGCTAAGGCATCAAGTTAGAAACCAGGAGACTGTGAATTCTGATCCTACCTTAGGCACAAAGGCAGCTAGGTGACCTTCTGCCAGTCATTCTCTCTAAGCCCTAGGAAGCAGGAAATGGTAAAGCACTTCCGAAAAAAACCTTGCCAAGAAAACTGCAGGGTCTTGTCCAGACAGTCACCAGGAGTCAAAAACATACCCACTTGCAGAAGAAAAGCATACTCTATGTTGCTTTTTCAAACCAAAATGCAACATGCAACTGTTTTCTTGGGAACTACTCCCATAGAACTGGTAAAGAAATGAATGTTCTTTATCACACTTATATTTTTCAGGAGAAAAGGGAAGGTTAGAGATTTAAACCTGATTTGAATCTGGGCCTGTCCCCCCCACCCCCTTGCAAATACAGAGCTTTGAGCAGGGATTATGGGGTCACGAAAGCAATCACGCAGGTAGTGCTAGTACTTGTATCCAAGCAACATCGGCATCTTGACTTGCTAAGTCGGCTCTCCACCTAAACCCAAGCTATAGTGCTCAATTCCGACTGAAAACTGGCTTCAGTCCTCATCCTGGTGGAATTTGTTGATCTGCCACGGAGCCCTAGCAACTTAGTTGTGCATCTGTCCATTATGAATGCACAGTTAGCCTCCAAGGGAGATTTAAGTGAAAATTCTATTGTGAGTGCTACTTTTAGTCCCTGCTATTAGACTAGGGGTGTTGACTACAAATGAAACTTAGGACTCATCTGTTTGTAATTGTCTGGTTTGGGGTAGGGGTTTGTGTGTGTGTGTGTGTGTGGAGGGGTGGTGGCTTTTAAGTGTGTGTTATTAATTCCAGCAAGCAATGTTCCTTTCCCAGCACTGGAAGAAGAAGGAAAGGTTTTCACCGTTCTTAATTTTGCCCTGGCCAAACTGCCTATGTTTTATTTTGTGGTATCCAAGAACAACATCTATAGGTTAAAGACATCAAGATTTCTTCTTTTTTGTCAGGCAAAAGGGAGATGCATCCCTTTTCTCTGAGCAGAATTAGCTTACTTGACCTAGTAATGCTATCTGTCATGATTTTCTTCAATAAATATTCAAAACTTTTTCTTCCTCTTTTTTGGTCTAGTGCTGGCTTTGGTTCTTTGTCTGCACTTGTATTCCAGTGTGTCAAGAGAGGAGAAAAAGAGAATGATCCTTTTTGCCATTTTTTTTACCTTCATTTGTCTCTATCTCAGTACTGATACGAATGAAGATTTTAGTTCTCTTGTCAGGTTTGTTTTGCTAGATTTGCATAATTTCTTTTCCAAGCCAGATCTTCCAAGCAGTCGGGGTCAACCAGATAACCCTCATTAATTTGCTATTCTGTGATTTCATATTGAGTTATTATCACCTGGAAATGCATGTTTACTTCAACATATGCCCAAAGTTTGGTGGGGCTTGCTTTTCTGTAAGTTTGTTTAGGGGTACCGACTTAATAATATGCAAAACTCACATAAAGAGAAAATGTATTCATTTCAGACAGTATAAAACATTTGGCTGCTTATGAATAAAGAAAAACTGATGTTAAATGCATATTTGGCAAGTTGAATAAGCAATTATTGTGGCACTCTGGGGTCCTCTGAAATCTGCAAGTGAAACATTTCAGTAAAGCATTTCGGTGTCAGCTACTGAAATGCTTTCTATGTTGAGAATCAGCCACTAAAATTTCTGCTTTTTGAGTTTCGATTGTATAGCAAGTAACAAGAATGTATAAGTTTCACTGGAATTGGTACTTTTCTGCGAGGATTCAAACCATGAAAAAATAGATTTTAGAGATATTAATTAATATTAACATTAACATTTACCATAAAGGTACAACCCTGAGCAATGTTTAGTTAATCAGATTTTGGTGGTCTTAAAATTTCTAACTAGTGCTATTAGGATAATGAAGCAATTTTATTTAAATTTATGTAGGGTCATATTTTAAATAAATATTTAAAATTATGTCAAACTGTTTAGGGCTATGATTAAGAAAATTTTATAATCTTGGATATTTTAAAATAATACTGTGATTTTGTTATGGTCTATAGTTTAAATAAATTGACTGAGCAAAATTGTGCCACATCCTCATGCTCATTCTACTTTGAGGAAAAGTAGCCCTTGATACCAATACATCAAACTGTTTTTCCAACTGGGAGCAGTGTATTAAAATGGAATTACTTGCAGTCAGTAACTAGAAGCAGATGCAGGCTTTTCATTTCAGTAAAATGGGAACAATAACAAGAGAGACATTATTATGAAAATAAAACGTTATGCTTGCTTGCTTAAGAGCAAGCCTTCTTGCAATGAACGGGACTTATTTTTGAATACAGATGCATGCATTCAGAGTTGAATCCTTTGCTGTTGTCTCGTACTGTTGTCTGTTTTACTAAAGACTATTTCTTGCAGAAAGAATGGTGTTTCATTGATTCCTAAAACATGCCTTCCTACCTTAGCAACTGAATTTACCAGTTCTAACAGAATAACAGAGTTGGAAGGAACCAACTCTGAATGCATACTTCTGTTTGGAGGTCTTCTAATCCAACCCCTGGATTTCAGACAAATGGCTGGATCCTGTGGCTGGAGAATTCTGGGAGTTGAAATCCACATATCTTAAGTTACCAAGTTTGAGAAATACTGATCTAAATGATAATTTCTTTAAAGATCACTATCAGAAAGCATTGCTTTAGCTACTTTTGTTTATTTTTGTTGTTAAAGTCATTCAATTTATCCATAATAGTATGGTCCAGAGGATTATAAAACAGCTAATAATTTTGGCTAAGACAGTCAATCTGATGCCAGCCAGACATCATGGACTACAATATCCATAGGCCCAGCAGGAATTTGTGGACATTATCATTCAAAATAGTATGAAGACATCAGATTCCTTATCTTTGGGATGAGCTGTGAGTTGTCAGGGTGTTTTCAGCTCTTCATAAAATGGAAAGAATAACAAGAGAGACTTTATTATGAAAATAAATTTGGTAGATGTATTGTAATACATCTTGCATGTTTATAGTGATTTGTAACATAAAAGCTATACTAACTGGAAGCTTACCACCTATACAATCAAACTGTTTCTGGTGCCATAAATAGCTTTCGGCACCCTCTTCCTCCTGAAACACTAAAATCTTGAGTGGAGATAATCACCCACTAATACTGAGGCAACTAAGAGGGAAATATAAAACTTAGTTCAAGGTAACAGGCAGTTATAGAGAAAGAATGAGGTTTTGTTCACAAGGTAGTGCAATAAATAAGGTACTGGAATAAATAAGGATTTTCCCGCCTGTTCAGAACAGGCTAACTGGATTTATAATTGTTTTGAAACTCACATTGCATCTGCTTATATTTTTGCTTCAGCTGTATAATTCCCTTGCAGTTTGTAAATTAATGTAGCACTATTGTTCTTTTATTTACTGATGAAAGGAGCAACATTGGCAAGAATTCTCACTACAATTCTATTTCTGAACCACCCACTGCTTTTAAATAAAGGTAGAAAACACATTTTACTTTAGCTGAAAGAACGGTACTTGTGCATCTTAATTAATGTGAATCTGGAAATTATTATGATCCTTCTTGGTCCACACAATACGCACAAGAGACAGCACAGCTCACAACAGCTACATCAAAATAGCTATTGTAGAGGTAGTCCTTGACTTAACAATCATTTGTTTTACAACCGTTCAAACTTATGTGCTGAAAAAAGTGACTTATGACCAATCCTCACACTTATGACCATTGCAGGATCCCCAAAATTACGTGATCAAAAAAGGAACACAACAGAGAAGGGAAGCCAGTAAGGCAGAGGCTAGAAGAAGGGGGGGTAGAAAGGTTTGGTGGGGGAAGAAAGGAAGGAAAATGGTGGAGAAAAGCCACAAAGTTTTGAAACTAGATGGGAAAAAAGGAATCTTTTTTAGGGATAAAGGGTAAAGTATAAATTCTTTAAAAAAGATTTTGCAAGGTACATAAGATGATATTGTAGCATTGTATTAGAAATAGAAAACTAAAATGGTTTAAGAGTTGATAAGAGATTAAAATGTTGAAATGTTTAGTAATGATTGATTTTAAATTTAATAATATTAAAGGGAAGGTTTAGAATATTGAGTTTTAATTAAAGAGTTTAATAAGATTATGGTATTGATGTTATTATAAAATTTTTATTATAGCATTTGTTTTTGGAAAAGACAATGGGAATGTTATAAGATTCAACATTTAGATTTACTGTTTAACTATGTATTTAATTATTTTGGATTTACTATTTAGATAGAATGTACCAAGCAGAATCGGATTGGGTACTGGGTGTTATTTTAAATGTTAATTTGATTAATTTAGAGGGGAGATAGAAAGGCATCATACTCTGATTAGTGATTTCAGGAGAAATTCTTTTTTTTATTATAAGGAACGAGACAAAGGGACAATAAAGAATGGACAAAAGATACAAATGTAATGACTCAAATTAAGATGGATTAATTAAGATAGAATTAAGAAGAGTGAAATGTGTGGAGAAGTTAATATAGAAGATTTAGAATGGTAAATAAAATAAGTAATGACATGTAAGATGAGCATGAATATAACCGAAGTCCATGAAGAGAGAGATACCTGGGGCTAAGTTACTTTCCAAAAAGATTTTTTTTTTTATGTTTTGTGTGTTGTGTGTTTATGTTTCTGGGAGAATTAATAAAACCTTGCAGAAATATAGAATGAGAATAATGGTAACCAAGTCAGAAAGAAATAGATGAAATAATAATAATGAAATTGAATAAGAGTAAAGAGAAGTAAAGAGAAACTGGATAAGAGGTTTTTGTATGCTTATATGGAAATGGTTTAAAATAGAATTATAGTGTATAAAATAAAGTTTTATATGACTTGTTAAATTTATAATGGAAAAAGGTTTAAGTATGTAATGGTTAATGATGATTTGTTTGTTTCTGAAAAATTAATAAAACTTGTTTTAAATAAAAAAAAATCAGGTGCTTTGCAACTGGCTTGTATTTAGAATGGCTGCAGTGTCGTGGAGTCAAATGACCACTATTTACAATCTTCCTTCATTGACAAGCAAAGTCAATGAAGGAAGCCAGATTCACTTAATGACCTTATGATTCCTGTAAAATACTGTTGTGATATGCTTAACTCTGGAAAAAAAGATTGCAAAATCAGGTATAACTCACTTAACAATTGCATCGCTTAGCATCAGAAGTTGTGGTCCTGATTGTGGTCATAAGTTGTATTGTATTGTACCTGTATTGATGACACAGAATTGTGTGTAGACAAAAATCCTGGACATTCATTTTCACAGGGGAAGAACCTGTAGCTCAATGACAGAGTAAGTGCTTTGGCCTAGACCAGAGGTGGTATTCAGCAGGTTCTGACCAGTTCTAGAGAACTAGTAGCAGAAATTTTGAGTAGTTCAGAGAACTGGCAAATGCCACCTCTGACTGAGGATTTTACAGTATCCTTGCCCTGCCAAGCCCACCAAGCCACGCCCACAGAACCGGTAGTAAAAAAAAAAAATGAATCCCACCACTGGCCTGGACATATAAGAGGGTGAAGCCTCGATATAGGGAACATATAAGAAGGTAAGGCTTAAGTTTCCAAGAGTTGTTTCTTCCCATCCTATAAGATTAAGAAAGAATGATATTGTGTTTATGCCTTCCCCTTTCTCGTATGTCCCTCTATGTATGCTGAATTTTTGGGACAACTAGAATGACATCACAAGTCATGACAGGAGCAAGGTAGAATATTATAAAAACAAGATTTCTATCTCAGCCCTAAATCTGGCAGCTGTCCAGGGTGCTGAGCGAGATAAAGGATTAGAAAAGGAAAAGTTTGATCTTCCATTTATTTGGGTGTTGTTTCTTGAAAAGCTTGATAAGTGAGACTTTTAAATCCCATCTCTCTCTCTCTCTTTTTCTCTCTCTCTCTCTCTCTCTTTCTCTCTCTCTCTCCCTCCCTCCCTCTCTCTTTCTTTCAACAGGAACGGATTTTCCTCACTCTCTCCAACTATATTTTCACAGCAGTGTTCTTGGCCGAAATGACCATAAAGGTAACTAATCCAGCATAATCCAGTCTGTGATCATTGCCAATCATCACATTGTGTAACTTTACTCTCACTGAACTTATCCCACCCACCCACATTGTATATCAGCATGGACATGAATTGCTGGATCCATATTCCTAGGGTTAGATGCTAGATTCGTATGTTTACTGGCAAACTGCAGTTTGTTTTAAAATAAGGCTAATGACTTCGGTGATTTTAATGTCTGCATAGATTGTATATTATTCTGTACAGCGCATATTGAAGAATCAGTGGTGGCCCTGGCTTGGAGGGTGGTTTGGACTGGCTCGCCCATACTGGTAGTTCCGACCACCGATTGGACCTGCCCACCCACCCAGGTGCTATCCTAACCTATATATCTGGCTCGTTCTCCCCAGCCACACAGCCCAGTTGATTTCCATGTCTCGCCTGCTCTACTCACCGCGGCTACTGTACGCAGGAAATCCCCGTGTTTTTGCAGCTGCGCGCAAGCTCACATTTTCAGCTCTGCACTAGGCAAACCAGTTGTTACATTATGTGCAGCCTACCTCTGGCGAGAATGCAAATAGAAATTCCTATAAGAAAATGCTTTTTCTTTCACCCAAAGCATATACATTCCTTATTCTTTCCACAATTTAAGCACATGCCTAAAATTAAATTGCTGTTAAAGGTATTGGACATTATGGAAAGAATAATAAACACATACTCTTTTATAAAGGTGCTTCATCGTAGTATCATCATTTCTACAACCACACCTACTTTGATACCAACATGATGTTATGGTAGATTTAAATAAGAAAATTACTTGCCCAGAGAATTTGAATCATATTATTTGTGGCAGGAAAGGAAAGGAGAAGAGATGGGAATGGGAATCTCTTCCTCATGTATCCCAACTCTCATTACAGCTACATTTGAGCTTAGTTATAGAGGAGATACAGAAGCTAAAATTAATATTAATCTTCAATTAAACTCAAACAATGCACCCAAGAAAAGGTTGTCTGTAAAGAATCACCCAATTTCTGAACTCTGAGTCTAGAGGAGAATCTCTCTCCAAATAAAATAAAACCAATTCTGGATTAAGATTATAATATCAATGATGTTTTCTTGAGATGGTGACTTTCAATGTTTTTCCCTCCCAGAGGCATTTCATTTCCAGAAAGATTCTTTTTTTCTTTTTTGCTTTGAATGGTTTTGGTAACATTTTGTGGGGAGCAGAATATTCATTTCTGATGCAAAGGAATCAGTGAAAGAGGGAGGACTAGTGATAGAAGTAGGATGCTAGAGTAGCTAGTTTGTTAAAACTAGTTGCCCTCCATTTGCTGCATTTATTCCCTTCTTTCTCTTCCCTCTCTGTCTTCTTATAACATCTTTGTAATCACAAAGGCTTTTAATCACAAAGCATCTGGTCATGGTTGAACTTATGCAGCAAATGCAAGAAAGTGTTTAAAGGCAAAGCTTAAAAACTTACTAAAGAGTGATTTTTAATGGATTAGAATCCATTTCATTTGAAAATGAAGAGCAGAAAATGTTATTCTAAATCAGACACATGTTGGGGGAATCAGTTGTAAAAAGCAAATTTAAAGGGTAATGAAATGTAAAAATTAAAGTCTGTACCATTCATAATAGACTACCAGCATCCGTTGCATATACTTGTAAACACCGAATTCAGATTCTCCACAACATTTCAGTATGGAGCATGCATTTTACCAAGATTATGCTTATTTCAGGGCTTGTTTTCAGTACCTCAGTTTTTATATACTATGTTCTTTTTGAGAAACTTCCCATTTAAATTTGGCTTGCTTAAGACAAGACCAGAGGGTTACATTTTCTAAAGTGCTTTGTTCATATTTTTTTAATTCCTTGAGAATTTTTTTTAAAACCTCATCCTTCTTTCAACAGACTCTAAGGAGAACAAAAAAGATTTCAGCAAAGATGAAAGTGTCTGTGTGTCTGTGTTTGTGTGTATACATACACATAATATATACATGCATATATATAAAAACAAATGAACGGGAGCAGTTTTTTAATGTTTAAGATTTGAGCAGGTTTGTGACCTCTGTATTCTGAAGTTTCACATCTAGGATAATATATGGTCATTACATCTTTAGTGCTACCCTCTGTAGTTACTGACAAAAATAATCATTTGTGCCATTATTTTACGAAATTGCCACACATCATGGTAGATATGGCAATTAAGTTTTGAATTGCATTAAAAATACATCAGTGTTAAAGGGACAATCTGGAATGTTTCTGCAGAGTTATTTTTATGAACCTTACACTATAACACTTTGTAGAACCTGCTTAGTTATGTTTCTATAACTGGGAAGTCAATGCATTTGCAATCACGTATGTGTAAATCATGCATTATAAACACACTGATGGTGTGATGACTAAATTAGCTATATTTTGTTGCAATTTGCAATCTTGGCAGGTGGTGGCTCTGGGCTTGTGCTTCGGAGAGAAAGCCTACTTGCAAAGCAGTTGGAATATTCTGGATGGGGTACTGGTTCTCATCTCTATGGCTGACGTCTTGGTTTCAATGGTATCTGATAGTGGAACAAAAATCCTTGGAATGCTAAGAGTTTTAAGGCTTTTGCGGACTCTGAGGCCATTAAGGTAAGAAAAAACAATCTGCTGGGTGATGCAGAACTGGCGTAAATTAGGAAAGGGGAAACTAAAGAACTTTGTGATGGATACAAAGCATAAGGCAAGGACATTTTAATCATTTTTCCCTCAACAAATATTGGAGAACGTGCCTGAAGGACTATTTGGTAATTGTTAATCCCCAATATATGTTATCCTAATGTCTTTTATACCCTCATATAGTTTCTGTGTCTATGGCCCCTTTAAGCCTAATTCACCAAAAACCATCTGCTGGCCTGAGGGGGAAAAAATGGGTGAGCTGAGAGTGCCTAGGTTTTACCCACAGAATCCCCTGCAACCTGAAAACTGCACAGCTGAAATGTTGGCGGTTCACATGTTACGTTGCCAAAAGCAATCTGGTTTTATGAGTTAACTAAGCTTCCAGAAGATATAAAAGAAGAATGAGAGTCATGCATCTTTTAACAAAGTTGGAAGGGATCTTGGAGGTCTTCTAGTCCAACCCCCCTGCTAACCCTAACCCTAACCCTATACCATTCCAGAAAAGCGGTTGTTCAATCTCTTCTTAAAAGCTTCCAGTGATGAAGCACCCACAACTTCTGAAGGCCATGTGTCTATGGAGATTCTCAGTCATCCAAGTCTTCTGGGTTGTTTCTCTCTTTGATCAGCTTCCTTTAAAGGCTAGGGCAGGACTGGCCTGAGACCCAGTTCATACAGGCAGCAATCCACAGTGCAAGTTAAATATATGAGCTCTGTCGTTTTCTGCAATAAACCATTTGCAGTAGTAATTTTCCACATAGTTCCAGCTGATTTTTGAAATGGCAATCCAGATCAGAGATTCACTGACTGAATAGCTGCTAGCTTGAGATTTAGGAGCATCTATCCACACGTATGCACTGCCCGTGTCTGTTGCTTTGTATAAATATTGTGCCTAGACCGGGAAAAAGTTTCATTCGAGAGAAATTTTGGCTGGAACAAAATGTCTTCTACAAAACATCTTATGTCCAGATAGCCAATCTTCCTCCACTTTTACTGGGCTTCCAAAGGGCTATAAAGACTTGAAATTTTAGCAAGGCATACAGAAATGCAGAGATTAGCTTACCCCATGGGTTGCCTTGTCATGGTTGATCCTTAATACATAGGACCTTTTTAACTCCTTCTGTTGCTATTCTGTAAGCTGCCCAGAACCTGTGAGAATTTAGTGATGTAGAAGCCTAAAGAAGGGGAAAAAACTAAATACAGTGTACATGATCATTGTAGAACAGTGTTAATGTATTACTGCAAATACTTGTATTACATTTTTTTAGATTTTGTTTTGCAAAGGGGTTTAAAGCAGCTGCCATCAGAAAGAGTGCAACAGCAATCCACATAATTAAAATCATAAAATATGCAATGCAATGATTACTATGAACAGCATAAGGGAAAAAAGGTTTAAAAGAGAGTCTCCATTTGCCATCAATTACACAAATGGCCTGAAAAACATGCCTCTCTTTCTATATATAAATATGAATTTTATCAACAAGAGTCCTAATGGGGGACTATTTAAACTACTACCGGTAGAATTGCATATACTAGTTTATATGTTTAATTTCTATATTTTCCTATTGTTAAATAAACTTGCATAATTTAACTATATGACTCATAATGACTATAAATGTAAATCTAGTTCTGATTTTATAAGAGGTATGGATGTATGGGACATTTTTCTATCTCCTTTTGTCATATTTTCCTTTCTTTCTGCACATAGTTTTTTTTTAAAAAAAAGACTCAACCATTTAAGTAGCAGCAAGGTCCAAAGCCTACTATAAGGGTAAGAGAATAGGTAACTGAAATGAACACAGACAAATTCATGATTGCAAATTGTTGTTCAGATCTTTCAGAAAAAAATATTGGCTGCAAACTGAAAGATGCACAGGGGAGAGAGAGAGTAATTTTTCCTCTTTCTCAGAGAGCACTTATTCCAGACCAGCGAGCCCAGTGGGGACATTAACTATTAGTGGCCATAGCATCTTGGAAATCATTATTACAATGTTTCTATAGGCTCCCTGTGTGGCAATATTTCCTGCAAAACCATCCTTTTAGCAGCAGTTGCAATGAGCTACCTTCACACACATAGCCACCTCTGTCAAGGAATGATCTCTGTTGCTGCCAGTCTTGCCAGGTAGCCCATATAGGAAACATGACCAGGTGGACTGATTTTGTTTCATTATATAGGGTTACATTGATAGAATCTTGCAAGTCTGAAAATACAGCTCTCGTGAGTTCATCAAAGCACTCCACAAGCAACAGACACCTTGACCTGCAACCAGCCTACAAACCCCTCAAAATCCAAATAAACCACAAAGCCAACCAGAGACAGCACCCTCAATCCAGGCAACCCCCACACACACACACCAGTAGTTCATCTCCCAATGTCCCTGACCTGATGTAACCTCCTTCACACAAGACCCAAGACTCACTAATGACTCACACGTGACCCATCACAAGATCCTCACTTGACACACCCACACCTGAAGCCCTTATAAAACAGAAGAACACTGACACTCACATCCCCTAAACTCTACTGAAGATGTTACCTAACCTGGTAATGAAATGTTTGGAAACCAACCCACAAGCTCGGAGAATGAACCTTCACCCTCATCCTACATATGAGCTACTCATATTTGCCACTATTGCAAAAATACAGCTCTCCTGCTATCACCTTTACTACCCAAGAAACTAAGGAGGGTCATTTTCATGCTTCTTCTATTGGCTCAGTTGCCTCTTGTCCAACTGTTTCCCTGACTATGTCTCTTCCCTGTGTTTCCCAAGATCATTCCCACAAACCATTATAGTTGCCATTCTATAAGATTGTCTAGTTTTCCTGGCCATTAGTTGTCTTTCATTGTCCCAGAAGATTTTTTTTTTTTCTTCCTAGCCTTTTCCCACAAGTGCAGGGTCTGGTTTTTCTTTTCCGCACATCAATTGAGTGTTGCAAAGGAATTGACTGACTAGCTTGTTGCTCATCCAAGCCTGAGGTTGTGGGCTGAGACAGTGATTGGCCCAGTCACCCAGCTGGCTTTCATGCCTAAGGCAGAACTAGAACTCACAGTCTCTTGATTTCTAGACTGGTGCCTTAAACACTAGACCAAACTGGCTCTCCCGTTGTTCCAGAAGAATGCCATGGGTATTTTCCTGCCAAAGTCAGTGTAAGATTATAGGTACAATCAGATACAAAGTACAGGTTTTGTTCCAGCATTCCAGTTCTGTCTCTTCAATCCCAAAGTATAAAATGGCATATTCTTAACTTGTGTAATCTTTATGCCACATTATCCAGATGAATCCCTTTTTCTAGAGATTTACAATAACCGAAAAGGAGACAAAGGAGGAAAAAACTTGAAGATTTAAAAATAGGTTCCATAAAGATGAAATGGGTTTTCAGCCAAAGTTTTCGTCCATGATATTATTCCTTCTTTAATTGATAAAAGCTTTATGGATGAACAGAGCAGGATTATGTGAAATATAGGAACTTCACTTCTACTTTTCCTCTTATCCAGAGAAAAGATTTTTGAGGATAAATCATTTATCTAGACTGCCGTTATGAAACTGACATACTTTATTCTGGAGACATAAGAGTTGATGAAGGGTTTAGTTATTAAGGCTTGTGGTATATGATACCACTCTGAAAAGCCTTTTAAGAAGAAGGGAAGGGAAGGATTTATCAAAAACTCCCTGATGTACAGTAGTATTTGTAGGTCCCTTATGTATGTATGTATGAATTGATCACAATCAAAATATTTCTACCTAAAGCATCTAAACTGCAGTGTCTAAGATCATCTACAAGACAAATTTACGTAGAACGATTTTGGTAAGTTGAGTGCTCTGACTTTGGCTGCCAATATGTATGAATTATTCAGCTTTCATAACATAAAGATACAAGAATCATTTTGCGGCTCCTTTCTTTCATATTCTTACCACACTCCTCTTCTCGCTCTTTCCAGCAAATGGAAATGGCTCCCATGGATAAGATGTGTAATATGCTCGTCCACGTTACCATTAAGATGCTGAAAATATGATTTCTTCATTGTTGGTGGTCCTACACAAACATGATCCAGCAGTGCTCTGCATCTGAGAAAACTGCTTCGATTCATGGTGCCCGGAGTCCACAAACAAAACCATGCTGCCATCTTTCAGTGATTCGGGATTAGTTGTTTTCTGCAAAAAGTCCTTATATTTTTATTTCCTGGGGACATAAGAACCGCATGATCATTGAAGCCAGTGAAATGGTATAGAGGTTTTAAGGCCAAACTGTATGTATTTTGCCCGAAACAAATCTAAATGTGGGTTTCAGTGTTCAGAATAAATGATGCCAGTTGCATAATGCCATGTGCAGATGATTATTTTTCACAATACAGTTTGTTTCAAGGAATCTATTATCCTCCCTCTTTCTCCACCCTCCCCCAGAAACCATAGAAGGTCAGGTTTCTGGAGGAAGGGTGCAGGAGACAGGGAACAAAGGTCACGAGAAAGGGACAAATCCATGCTGAAGACCACTGGAAAGCCTGTCTAGCTCATACAAAGCTTTCGTCAAAACCTGCCTGCTTATTTCTAAAACTGTTTCTCCAGCCCATGACTTCTTTTTTTCTTCTTCTCCTTTTGGTAGGAGACAGCTTAAACAAAAGCTTGTCTTTTTTTAGCCCAAAGGGCGCCACTTCATACATGTCCCTGTGATGTGGTGGTCACAAAGGATGCAAACCAGATGGGCATTGCTCCACATGGTATGCCATCTGTGTGAAGTCTTGGCCTTTTGATCCAAGCCAGCTTTAACCACACCGTTAAAACCCTCGCTTTCATAGAAGTTGTGCAAGCATCGTTAATAGTGGCCAGAGTCATGTGGTTGCGACTTTTAGTCAAGGCTTCCTGTCTAAGGCAGATGACGTGATGACTACCAGATATCTTACCTTCTACCTGAATTAAGACACATTAAATGTGTGCATCGCATAGCTGATGAAAATAAATATGATCCATCTGCTTCC